TCGATAGATTCAGTCTTTTCTTCTCATTGTTCTATCAGCTCTTTGTTTTTTTAACTGCTGTACCTTTTCTAATGCAGAGACTATGCTGTTTAGCAAGAGAGCTAAGTATTCGGGTCTGTGGAACTATAGCTGGTAATCCGAAAACATTAGTAGGTTTGTGACGGATCATATGTGGTCTTAAATAGTAATTCTCAAGTTGTTAAAATTAGAGACGGGAATCGTTCATTTATAGGCCCTTCTTCTCACAGAAATGAATGATAATCGTTTGACAGGGCGCCACTCATGATAATATTAAAAAAAAAAAAAGTGTTTGCTTATACCCTTCATCAAGAAGGCTTGCGGACCCCGTTAGGTGGGGAGGTCAAAGGAGCGTTTTGGAAGCAGTGTTCCCTACCATTATTACTGCATTTATTTTCGTGCTGAACTTATTTCAGGCGTTGCAGCTGCTTGCCCTTCACACACACACACACACGACAGCAGCACACACACACACACACACACGGCTGTGCCACTGATACATGCGGTGTCAAAATGATGTATCCACCTTACTTTATGAAATAATGACTTATTCAGACACGTGTAACATACTGGAGTGCAAAGTTCTGTTGAGCATGGGAAACATGAGAAACCTCCTAACCTCTGAATACACACACACACACAGCCATGTTGCTGAGGTGTATGTGTACAGTATGTGTGAGAAAGATGGCTGTGCTAATAAGGGTTATGTAACAAAGTGCTCCATGTCAGATTTTTTCTCATGCATACAAGATACCAGAACAAGACTAAGGGGCTCTTTCTCACACACGCTCTAGTGGATGCATGATGTGTGTAATCAACACATACTTGTGCTTGCCCATGCAAAACATTCACCAATAAAAAAGGAGAAAAAAAGAGAGGCATTTCAGGTCTCGGGAGAGAGAAAAAACAACTCTGCCACACACACACACACGTGCACTCACTATGTCCATCTCCTCTTCCAGTCACCTTCCTATATACTGTATGTACTGTATATAAAAAGTATGTTCTCCTAAATATGCCACTATATAACTCAAAGGCTGAGTTCAACCCTTTGAACCAAATGGACACGATCTCTCTGTGCATCTATGGTTACAGTACAAACAGGCAAGTACATTTAGCTGCAGCTGGCGCACAAAAGAGAAGGAAGTTCCAAATATGGTCTGTGAGATGGTTGTGTCACAGAAGTGACTGTGCCCAAAACATAATGACATTTAACTCAACATACCAAACTCAAGGCTCATGCGAAATTCATAAATATGGTAGGGGTAGGGGTAGGGGTCTTCCCATAAAGTAAAGTTTGTAAGTTGTTCAATTATTCACTTTACAAAAGGTATAAAAACTACATTTTGATGTTAATATATATATAGCAGGTAACCTAACACAGTTTAGAGTTCATCCTGATTATTTCTGCAAAAATACCTATATTGATTCTTTCAAATTATTTAATTTTCCTAAGTCACCTTTAGTTTACATTCATTAATTTAGACCACATTCTTAAAGTTATATATTTGTGGCTCAAACGTAGACATACGTTAGACTCATTTCTTTGCTTAATAGTTGCTAAAATTGTTACCTTTACTCACATTTTCAGTTTATTTTCATTCTTCTATGATCTATAGTCTTCCTCAGCCACCATAACTTTGTGCACAAGTGAGTGCGCTTTTGGAGGAGATGTGGTTTGGACTCTGCATCTCCTTTACTCCCCTCGCTGTTAACAAATTCTGATAATTTTTTTTGTAGTGTCTGAATAGTGCGGATTCACCAACATGGAAACAATACAAAACACCCCCCACCACACACACACACAAATCATATTTATCTTATGTTAGATAAATAAATAATGGGAGTGTCAAAAAACACAATCAGTTTTTAAACATCCCACACTAAACACTGACAACTCTCCTTTAGCCATATGTATAGTACCACTTACATGCCAAATAATGCAGTGTACAGTAGTAGTAATAGTAATGATGACCCTGCTTATCTCACAGACCTCCTTCAGACCTACACTTTCTCTCGCTCCCTATGGTCTTCATCAGCAGGTCTAACTGCCACTGCCTCAGCACAATGGGTGCCGGGGTCTTCTTCTATGCTGCACCCAAACCTCCGAACTCTCTTCCCTCTCACACCCTTACACTGAAATCCATTACACATGGTTACAAACTGCTCTTAAAACCCCCCTTTTAAACAAGCACATTCACTTTAACTGTATTAACTGTATCTTATTTTAATATTGTTGTTATTTTTGAACTTGCTGCCCTGTTGTTTACTGCATGCATGTGTTATTGTTGATCATAATGATGTTTTCAGGTTTAGGGAGTAGTGGATTTCTTGTGAGTCACGTAATCAGGATACAAAAAAAGGTAACTGTAAGCTATTACCATAAATATATGTAATCAATTATATTAAGTAAAAATAGGGATTATAATAATATTTTAAGATACATCAGTGTTTCTTTAAAAATACACTGAGCAGAGGACATACTTTTGATACTAAAAATCTTGGTTTACATTGTTCTGTTGTCTTATAGAATACACATCATCTTGTTGATATTTATTTATTCATTATTTGCATATTTGGTGTTGAGCTAATCCAAAAGTAATGGAAAGTAACCAAGTACCTTTAATACTGTGACACATGGGGTTACTGATTGCATTTTTTAACATGTAATTAGCAATTGTATTGGGTTACATTTTTAAAGTAACCCTCCTAACCCTGGATGTTTTATTACTTTGTTATTGATTGTATGTTTTATATGATGTAAGGTGAGTTTGAGTTCCACTAAATAAAATGTATTGCTATTATTATGAATAACCTGATATGAAAATAACAGACATATAGTGACAATGCCGTAAGCCTGTTCTAAAATGTGTAAAAGTCAAGAAAAAACAGCCTTGGGTTAAAACATTTAAGGGTTCAGTGGGCTATCTTGTTGAATAGCACTTTAGCTTTATTATATAGTGTGTGTTATGAGGTCTCCAAAAAGAAAACGTGCAGTTGCTCCCATGTTGTCTTCAACAGAGTTTCCACTATATTACTATACTGTGCAGGAGACTAGAGTAGATCCCTGTACACACTGGCTAAGAGGTAAAGCCCAGATAGCCAGACTATCACAGGGTCTGACAAATACAGATAGACAACCATTCACACTCACATTCACACCTATGGGCAATTTAATTCTCCTAACCTGCATGTGTTGGAGGAAAGTAGGGCATCTAAAGGAAGCTCACGCAGATACAGATGAATAATAAAATCTACAAACACAGACCTTAGGCAGTGAAGTCCTGGAGCCAGAGCTCTGCGTTGTCATGGTGAGGACAGTGGTGATGCCCAGTGCCACTCTGGCTGGGGCAGCGTCCATGTTGATCCAGAAAGAGACCCAGGACAGAATGACAATGAGCAGAGAGGGGATGTACATCTGGATCAGGTAGTAGCCCATCTGACGCTCCAGGTGGAACCGCACCTCAATACAAGTAAATTTACCTGCAACAAAGCAGAGACATGCTTTAAGAATGTTTACTTATTTATAATTACATCATACATTTAATAAGCACAATAAACAACAAACAAGCAACAAATATGCATAAGCACAGTTATCTTACAAGGCTGTGTAAAGTTTGCTGCATTTACCTGTGCTCCAACCTTGCTCCACCGTCACTTCACCCTTCTGCCCAAATTTGGATTTTCTGGCTATACTTACTAACATTATGGCAGCAGGCTTTATGCCCTCCTTTAAAAAAAGTGCCATCAGAAACATATTGGTGATGTCACAGACAGGGGCGTAGCTACTAAACTTAGGGGTGTAACAATACAGTAAACTCACAGTTTGATACAATTCACAATCCTGGGTTTACGATATGATTTTCTCACAATGTTTTTAACAAAATGAGACTGAAGACTGTGGCTGAAAAAGTAGTTCTCAGAAAAAGATCCACAAAATATATGTTTTTTATCAAATTATAGAATCCTTTATTATTTCTGAGGTAGAGTATGAACTGTGAAAAAAAATGCACATTTCTTTTTTCTTTGTCAAACTGAAACTGATGTCTTTGCACTTTGACTGTAAGAAAAAATGGACGTAGTCCGTGACGTCATCCATAGGTCCTGACTCCGACAGCTTCCGGCTAATCCAGAAGCGGGCAAGGATGTGGAGCGTAGTTGGAGCTGAGTGTGAATGAATGAAGCCTGGTTACTGAAAACAGCCGCCTGTGGTGGCACCCACCTGTCACTCAAAGCATGCCCTTAATTATGCAAAAAACTTAATATATATTAAACGGATGAGTTGTATAAAAATTCACGCAGTTTTTTGTTGCTTCCGTGTGGGCTTCATTAGCAGGCCACGCAGTTTGCCACTTGCTACTAGTGAAGTCAGATGTTGAACAAGCCAATCCAAAAGGAGATAGTGCTCTCTTTTAGTTAAAAAGAGGACCATGATTAATTTTTCATCTCACTGATTTGAATCTTATTATTTGTATCCTGATTGAACTGTCACTCAACATATTGTTACATTCCTACTTGGTCTTGACTCAGGGTCAGCTCATGCGGCCCAAAATCTATAAATATCTACAATCCCTGTCCTCCTCTGAGCCTCCTGAATCATTCAGTGTCCCCACACAGCGCCTCAGGTTGAAGACACCACATCCATGTTTATCTACTGTCTATGGTCAGATCCCATTTAATTAAAAGACAACATTAGTCTGGATGTCAGGCTGTTTGTTTCTCCTTCTTGCAGCTGATTTTTTTTCTTGACTTGATCCCAGCAGCACAAACATGACTGATGAAACGTGGCAACCGTTTCACCCCGTGTGCATGTAACCTGTGCTGTGATGCTTATGGCAGAGTGTGTATGTATGTGTGTGTTACCTGTGTTGTAGTGCTTAGTGCAGTATCTGAGGTCTGACTCATCTTTGAGGATGAACTGTGGGAGCGTGAGCCCTTCGGCCACTTGGACTGGTCCGTTCTCCTGCCACTCAAAGATCAGGTCGTTCATGGTGTACCCAACTGAAAGAAGCAAACAACAGGACAATTTAATAGAATACAATTAACAAAATATTATGCAACAGAAAGATAAGGGGAATAAATCATTAAAGTGATTCATGATTCGCTGATATTTTGAATCATCATTTCGTGAGAAGCACCACATATTTTTATATGTAACATGTAACTAGAAACTATGGTAACTAGTAAGTAGAGCTGTCAAAAAAGAAGTAGTGGAGCAAAAACTACGATATATATATTTAATCTGCAAGCAGCATTGGGCGCTACCTCACCATCAACCTACGTTGGGGCCTGCACGGCGGTCGCCCGCCGCAGCCGCGCAACGCCACATCACCCCACTCCCAAGCCCTCATCGCTGGAAGCTGAGGGAGACCGCTCTACATTGTCACACGTTTCAGAGACTGTTCAAAAGACTTACGCGTTCATAGCAAGACTCTTCACTACGAACCGTGGAAATTCAGCGCCGTGCCATGGACACGCCGTTTGACCCACAGTAAATATTTGATTAACTTTTGATCACCAACGTGTCTAGATTGCAGTGATCGAATTTGAGGTCAATCCGATAAAATCTGTAAGAGGAGTTAGTTAAAATTGAAGCCCTGAAATACCAGAAATGGCATCACAGTTTGACATTCGATTCAACCTGGCCAACTTTGACGACACGCCACGGACACGCCCTTCAACGTACAGTCACAAATAGCACAACTTTTAATCAGCAATGTTTTTTGACTGTACTGACCAATTTTGAAGCAGATCCGATCGCCGGAAATGACCACAGAATTCAAAATGGCCGACTTCCTGTTGTGTTTGGGTTATGGGTCCAAGAGGCTTTTTTGTACGTCCTAAATTGCTTTATATGCCTGTCAATTTTCATCCATGTCCCCTAAACAGGACACCAGGCTGTTTTTTTGAAAGTTTGTTAGGGGGGCGCTATCGAGCCATTTTGAACACCCACAGGCAACAATCCATATTGAAATGTAAAATGCTTTGGCCATGTGGGACGTGTGCTGCAATTTCATGAGGTGTTGAGCCTGTTTAGCCCTGTGAAATGCGATCAAATGTTAAAACAACAAGGTGATGCTCGCCATGTCGCTACAGCAACACGGTTCAATAAAAATTCATAAGATTCGTAAGATGTCATTGTCAACATTCTAAGGGTCTTCTGACCAAATTTCAGCTAGATGTGTTCAATCTGCTGGGAGAAATACATTAAAGTGTAATAAATTCCACCACTAGGTGGCGCTCTCACTATTAGTGAATATTATCACATAGATGAGTTTAGGGAGGGACTCTAATCAGACAAGTGAAGTTTGGAGCCGAATGGACAATGTACACTCAAGTTATAGCAAACTGGTGTTTAGAAGCGTATTTTTGTTAATTTATTTAAGCTACAGTACTGCTGCCCTGAGGTTACAGACATAGCTCACAGCCCAGTGTGTAATTAAGGTAGTTACATGCACAAGTCAGATGAAAAAAGACTTTGAAATACACTTCACAGTGACACAGTGCGCAGGCCCATGATCAGTTGAGAGGTAGCACAGGAAGCTGGATGCTTGGCACAAACTGTTGTAACTGTTACTGTGATAATAAAAATAATCCCATCAAGTTTTTTAAAGCACAGTATTGGAAAATGCTCCAATACAACATACATACATCCTTATATCCAGTTAAATTATGTTCCATCCTCCAGCCACGCTTGGTGAAGGCTACTAATGGGAAAGAGTGAGAAAAGTACACAAACTGCACAGACTAAATGTATGAGCATAATGACAGAAAGTGGAAGCTGCAATAAAATGCATGCGGCCCGAGCACTGTAGGGATTTTTGGCAAAAGCAGAAACCAGCTGGTGCATGCTGGTACAAGCCTTCAGCCATACACAAAAGATTGAGTTCATCTTGCCTTTTAAGGTTCAGCTAAAAGCGTGTGAAAAGTTTATGTATGTTAAAAAAAAACAACAACAAAAAAAACAAGAAGAGACCATGCCTGCAGCCTTCCCTTGCACACAAGGTAGCGTCTGTGTTTGGCTCTGGATGTTTCTAAATTGTGCAGTTGCCCCTGGTGGTAACAGTATCTCCAACTGTCAACTCAAAGCACTTACAAATTCTGCAGCTGCATTTACTCAAAACATTTCATCTAGTAAAAAAAACAACTCCTATTACTGTTACAAATGAGGTTACTTGTGCAGGAACATCAGGTTACCCTTCAGTTTAAATTAATTCTACACATTATATCTATATGTAATGAGGAATATTAATTGAATTGGAGATGGAGATCAAGGCAATTTTTTCCTCTCAAACATGCATCATGTCATGACTGGAGTAATTTCCACTCATCCTATCTCTCTCTCTCTCTCTCTCTCTCTCTCTCTCTGTATGTGCGTGCCTTTGTGCTTCCTGTGTTCTCTGCTGCATGACATCAGATACACAGCAATGAAAATAATCCATATACATATATACAAATAAAGAAGGAGCCAGATCTATGTATGGTAATGCCTGTGGCCAGTGGGCTGGAGCAGAATAAAACCAATGACAACTAATCTGTTCAAGTGTTATCTGTCCCTCCGGGGCCAAGCTAAGCTCCTGATTGGACAAAGGATGAACTAGTCATCATAACCCTATAAACATTATTAAACACGACTTTGCGTTTCCTTAAAAAGACACGGCCATGTGTCTGAGTTAGGCCTGTTTCATAGAGGGAGAAGTGGCGGGGAAGGAGGATGGTACTAAATATACTTTGGTAAAATGTATGGATGAATGAACATGTGAGACACATGACAACTGTTTGCATATCTTTACCCACACATTTGTACTTCAATGTAAATGATAGTATCAGTCCATTTGTTCTAATTCATTTGATTCTTTGCAGTATCCTGCTCCAGTCTGCACAGGTGGTGCTCCCTGTATGAATCCAAGCAATTCCCTGTGGGAATACAGACAGACCCTAGCGGTCCCATCGCAAAGGTATGGAATATGCATACGGCACGATGCACGACAAGCCACTGCAATTATGATGAATAATAAACAGAAGCAGGAGGAGCGTTGGCTGAGTGATGTTAACTTATTAATCAACAATGTGTGGCTGACATTGTTGATTTGTGAGGATGTGAGAAGAATTTATTCTTTAAACAATTTGATCGTAAGTGCTGTTTGCAGGTCCTGCTGTCACAAAACCCTTGTTGATTGTACCACAGAGCGGTAAATGAGAAGGATGCATGTAGCTGCTTGTGATACCAAGGTGAAACAGACCGCCTTGTTCAGGTGGAAAGGTGTGAGTTGCATATACTGGGTTTGTTGACAAAGTGCTATACTCTGCCTTAGGGTGTTCTCTTTATATCTGTAGTGGGCTTATATTACCAACAGTGGACAGAGGTCAGCACACCCCCAGTTTGGAGAAGCAGACAGGAGTCCAGGCACAGAAGCAGAGCAATGCACTGCTGTAGACTGTAGACCATGTTGCCTGCAAGGAGGCACTGCCTTAAAGAATATAATCAGGGTACAAAAGTCTCCTCTGTGTAGTAAACATCACAGATTATAGATGATAGTGAAATAATGCCTGCTGCCTTTCTCTGTAAAAAAAAAAAGGAATCTCAAGAAAGTAAAAAAGCCTTGTTCCTGGGAAATGAGTCTTATTTTTTGTCTAAAAAGAAATAATCTTGTCCAGCATGTTTTGCATCAGGATCTGGTTTTAAGAAAATCTATCTAACTGTGTCTTTATGAGATATTACAGCTAAAACTGAGCTAGATATAACAGTTCCAACTACGGTTTGCATAATATCCCAGACAGAAGATTATTTTCCTTTATTTTAAGAGAAGACCACTTGCACACACTTAAACTCAGAAAGTAAATGGAAGGAATGCTTTGAGTTTTCCATTGTTTTAATTAAAAATGCTAAATAAGAATGCTTCTGGTGCCTTCATTTAAGACAAAGTCACTTTTATTATGCTGTTTAAAGAAATTGTGTCCTATTATTAGCTTTTTTTTTTTTTTGCTAATGATTGATCTTAGATGAAGGTAAACATTCTTAAATTCAGTTCAATAAAGTGACCGAAATACTTATTTTAAATCTTAAAAAATTTAGTTATCATTGCTTGTAATAACTTATATGTATTTCCCCCCCCCAGTTTTAAGGTCCATTACAGTCTTTCAGTGGCTAGATTTTTATGCTAGTTTTAAGAAAACTAGCCAAGCAAAATTAGATTATCCCACTGGCAGATTTTTTTGCTCAAAACAATAAAAATATATAGTAATTTAAAAACATTTGGCTTGTTTGTAGAAGGGTTGGATTTACCATATATATATGGTAAATCCCCCTCCTAAGAGGTGGTTATACTTCTATATATGTACTACTACACCTCTGTGTGCTAAGAAAAAATTATCCTAACCGCTATCTGGTGTGAAGAATCCAAATATTTAAAGTATTTCCTTATAATGTATATCCCCATTTCCAACCGATTAAGGTTAGGGTTAGGAATGGCAAACAGTGCGTGTGTGTGTGTGTCTGTCTGTTTATACTGTACTTACAGCTCTCCAGCTGCATGATACAGGTCTGAACATCCATTGGGAAGTTTTTTAGATCCATAGGACATGACAGAGTTAATGTTAGTCTGAAAGTGAAGACAGAGGAGAGAACAAGCGAGTCAAAGACAGTGACAAGGTTTAAATACATTCATACCTGTCGTACACATGTACAGTATCAAAAGGCTTTTATCTGGGCTCATTTTATATTAATGCACCACTAAGTGGGATATCTTTGAGGCTCCGAAACAGCCTCTCTGCAATATCTCTGAGCACAGAACACAGAAACTTGCATAAAGCAATACAGAACTACTATTAGCATGTAACGTTGAAAGTCAAACAGTTGTGAGTATTAACAGTAAATCTAGGCGTAAAATAGACACATAAACACTTTCTTTATAAAATATTTTTGCCAGGGATTGGAAATGAAGTGACCATTTATTTGGATCGCAACAGAAACGAAAAGAACCTTTAAGTTTTTGTGTTCTGGAGAAAAACAAATCGGAATAAATTACAAATAAGTGTAGTCTTAGATGACTGTTATGCCACATTGTTTTGTTCAGTTTACATTATATTGGCAGGTTTCAACAGGTTAAATTTCATGCTTTTTCAGAGCATTATGAATACTATTTACGACCTATTTTACATCCTTACTGTCAAAAAAAATGTGTGAAGGAAATAAAGGAAAATGTATATTATTGTTAGAGCATGGATCAATAATATTTTTTCCCAGAAGCACATTAAAAGCGAGACTGAAAATGCAACTTTATACAAGTAATGTTGACATAATTTTTCAGTCAGGTCCTCCATAAAAAGAGGAATCCTAATGGTGCACCATCATACTAGGGCTGCACAATACAATATATACAGTAAGTATATATAGGGACTATAATATATATTAAAAAAAACATCATGTTGCGATTATTTTGACAGATATTGTGATTTATAATATGATTCATGATTATTGTAGGAAATGTAGCTTTTCCATCACAAATTAAATTTTCACAAAAAAATCATTCATTTTTGGAGTCTGTACAAAAGAATCAAACAAATATTTGTAGGCCAGGGACTTTTTGCAGCACTACAGTACTTCATTATAATGCTGGTTGTCACATATTTGCCTTTATTTAAACAATGCAGCTCTTGCAATTTGCATATTGCACTTGGCCATATTGCAATTTAGATAATGTTTTGATGAACTGTGCAGCCCTACATCATACAGACCTACAGTGCTTATTTTTAACCTTTTATGGTGATGTATTCCCACCACAGATAATGTATTCCTCCAAATCTTATTTCCAGCTGAACTGTGGGTGCACTGTGCGCCTCTAGCCATTAAAATGATAAAAGTCCATCACCGTGTGGTAACATCACACCCGGCTCCTTGATTCATTAATTCAGGGCCATATAGCTTCTCGCTTTGGTCAAATTCAAAGGCATGAAAGTAACTTGAAAAACAATCACCCCACACTTACCTTATAGAGTACAAAACATTCCCATTCTTAAATATCCTGAGCAGTTTGTTGTCTGTAGTGACTTCGTGAAAGTGGGCCCCCTTCTCATTTGCGAAGAACAGATCTGGTTTCCATATGGAGTCTAACATAGAGGGGTCCAGGTCCAGAGAGTCATCTGGGTATTCAGCATAGGCGAGCCTGGGATCACTCCACTGCTGACGGAGGAAGATATTCACACGGTAGTCCTACAGGCGAAGAGAATAACATGGATACATCACACACAGTAAGACATGAAAAAAACAATTTCCAGGGATGGGTTACCATAGGTGAACAAAAATAAAACTACACTCATCATTTTATGCCATTTCTGGACATAACAAATCATCCAAGCTGCTTAGTGTATCATGTTTTTATCCTGTTAGTGACCTACTCAAGGAGGCAGAGGGGTGCAAATGATCTTGAGCCCTGTACGCCAGCTGTTCCATTGGATGCAGTGGTGTTGGACAGCAGTGGTGGAACCATATTGTACATGAACACACATGTTCCAACTGGATTCTTGATTTCTGCATGCACAAGCACACCTTCCACCACATTTGTAGGCAGCTGCAGCCTCCTCATTTCCATCAGCATATACGGTGCACAGACATAGTGGGTGGGGGAGGCATGGGCACTAAGTGGCTACATTGTTGGTAGTCACAGGTTTATGCTCCTCAGCCATTGCTTATTTGCCTCAGGTAAGCAAATCATAGTCCAGTCCAGATTGTCTCTGAGGTGTCTAATGGTTTCTAATCCATGTGGGAACCAATTATTAGAACTAACAACAGTATTCACAGGAAAAAGGAGGAAAAAGTAGATTTGTTTTAGTCCTTCTCCAGTAAACAATCAGTCTTTCTTCCTACAGTGTGCTGTTTGA